TCCTACTTTCAGTTCATGTGAAATAGAAACACATAAAAAGTTCAAATCATGTCACATAAGCTGGAATGCGTACGCACACGAAATCGAGCCTCAGGAACTAAATTAGGGATCTAGGAGTATCGAAATAGCTGGAAGGAATTGCCGGAAATAAAATCGAGAAAAATTCTGTGAATGCAAATTCATCCCAAATGAAAGTGCAGCGGAATCTGCAGAGGACTGAAGCAAAAGGAAACTCTTCTAAGAGGATTACTTAGGCCATTTTCGAGCCCTTATTTAAGATTCCGAAGAAAGCTTTGCTCTTTGCGGTTGTTTCTATAGTTTACTCACGTACTCTACGACCCGATGTCGCCAGACGACTTTTGGCTATCAGTTCTACCCTTGACTCAACCAACGTGTACCGCAGAGAATTCCTATATTTCTAGACATGCAACAGAGATATGAAAAGAAATAGATGTATAAGTACTTTACGTTAATAGCCAGGGGATCCATCATACATTGCAAATTTAACTATATCATAGAAATGTCGTGCGTGAAAACATCAATTTCGAAAACTGCATACAGCTGTAAATATAATTATACTTTTCCAATATTTGAGCTTTATTTGATGTACTAAATGCGAGAAATGAATAATATTTTTTAATAAAAACAATTCTCCCGAAAATGGTGTTATTCAGAAAACTAATTAAAATATCACCATGCCGGAAACAGTTATTATACCAACATGAATTTCCAGGTGTGTGTGTGTGTGTGTGTGTATAGATATAGGCATATACGCACGTACCTTTAATTTTTTTCACCTCATATATAATCTCTAATTTTGAATGAATTTTGCAATTTATGCGAGTAGTTTATCATGTTTTGGAAGAGCATTAGAAGATTTTAAATCTTCTTTCGTTAAACATATGGTTATTAAATTCGAGTCATGTATTGCGTTATGAGTATTTTAGTAAACGATACCTATCATCGATTTATCTGAAGTCGAGCTAATAATTTTTAGAGTCTGTATCATTAAAATACAGGAAAGAACTTTATAAAGCATATTTTAGAATTATGTGTCAATTCTTCTTTAGAATAAAATGTAAATATAAAGACAAACAGCAGTAGAGACGTGCCTACACACTTTTCACTTGAGACAAAGGGCAAAATGTACAGTGCGAGGCACCCGGCTATTTTGGTACAGGAGGAAGATATATAGTTTTCAAATATCTCACATGCAAACATACAAAATAAAAATGTGCAATGCTGTAGAGCAAAACAAGATCATAATCCAAACATATGGTTATTAAATTCGAGTCATGTATTGCGTTATGAGTATTTTAGTAAACGATACCTATCATATATCGATATTTGTTTAGGCAAAACTAAGAATAGAGAAACACTTTGTTTTACTATAATGTAAAATTGTAGAATTAAAACTCTACAATTTTACATTATAGTAAAACTAAATTTAGTAGCAGTTACTAAAGTTAATTTTACTATAATGCTAATGTATACTTAGTTTATTAAAGTAGTTAAATCTGTTTAGTGTAAAGTAAAACTTAGTTTTAAGTGTTTAAGAAAATTATGTTTCATAAATTGAATTTTCTAACTGTCTGTCTAGTACCTCTGATTTTCAGCCGCGTTCACCGCTTTTTAATGGGTACAGGAGTTTTTGAACTTATTTAATTTAAATTTAATTACAGAACTTTATAAGTATATATATATATATACAGGGTGTTCCAAAACGACCGCATAAACTCTGCACAGCTGGATTCCTCGTTGGCAGTACATAAAAACTGCCCAAAGAAGCGTTCCTGTACGATCCATAGTTTACGAGGAAAATACGAAAAACAAAGTATGATGTCACTGCCTGTGCAAGAAGAAACACTTTATTGAACATATCAACAGCAGTATATACACAATTTAAAGCAGATGTTCAAAGTGTCCGCCTTGCATGTCAAGGCAGGCTTGAGCACGCCGTGGAATGGCTGTCATCACACGTTGCAGCATCGCGGGGTCCACCGTAGTACAGGCAGCATGCAGACGAGCAACCAAGTCCATTGGTGTTGTCACTACATCTCGTTACACCAGTTCCTTGAGATGGCCCCATAGGAAAAAATCCAACGGTGTAAGATCTGGCGAACGTGGCGGCCATAGAACCGGACCCCCACGTCCGATCCAGCGACCGGGGTATTCCATATCCAGCCAACCATGTACAAACGTACAGGAAAACCACGTACAGAAATGACGCCGAGCCCCATCATGCTGGAAACAAAGTCCCTGTATTGCCGTTAATGGCATGTCATCGAGGAACTCGGTTAAGACCTCATTGAGAGACACTAAGTACGACTATCCCGAGAGCCGTTCAGGCAACAGATATGGTCCAAGCGGGTGATCCCCGAGTATGCCGGCCCACACCTTAAGAGACCAACGTTCCTGATGTTTCTGCGGCCGTTTTAAACATTATCGTCTGGAAAACGATATCCCAATACTGTTGTTGATATGTCCAATAAAGTGTTTTTTCCTTACACCAGCAGTGACGTCATACTTTGTTTTTTGTACTTTTCTCGTAAACTATGGATCGTACAGGAACGTTTCTTTGGGCAGTTTTTATGTACTCCCAACGAGGAATCTAGCTGTGCAGAGTTTATGCGGTCGTTTTGGGACACCCTGTATATATATATATATATATATATATATATATATATAAACAAATTTAAATTCTTAACAAATACGTATAAAAGTAAAAAAAGTAAAAAAGCAAATTTAAATTCTAAAAAAAGGAAAAAAGCCAAAATAATTAAAAATAATTTTAAAAAATGCAAACATGTAAAAGATTTAATTCTCGAACTTATCTACAATATCATTTAAATTCAGAAGCATAAGCACATCAAGTGCAAAATCTATCCATGAAAATAAATCTACTAATTTAATAAGTAAAATTAAATTAAACAATTTTTTTTTAAAAAATGCATATGTGAATGATCGTAGATTAGGCAGGAGACAGACTTATCAAGGGGAAGTTGCCTCGAAATCTAACTCTCCAATCATTCAATTCGTGTTTCGTCATTCATGCAGGCAAGGGTAAAAGTCAAAACCAAAAGTAATTTCAATAAAGTGGTACCCTTAGAAATTAACATTTAAGTATTAACATTTAAGAATTAAAGTTCAAAAAGGAAAATACTAATTAAGTCTTTTGAGAAACAAGCAAGTAAAGTTAAGAATTAAACATTTTCTTAAAAAATTAAATTTAAAAAAAAATTATAAAATAATAAAAAAATCTAGAAACAAATGTATTTTAGAAATCCTTGTCTACAGAAACTTCCCCTACACGAATATGCATATCAATAAAAAGAAACTATAAAAGAACTATACATAATCCATCTAAACCAATAAGAAATAAAAAACAAAAAGAAACAAAAAAGAACTAATTCACAATTTTTAAAATAAATATATATTTAAAAATAGAATTTCATATTTAGAAATACTTAGATAAGCAAGTAAATAGTAAGTATTAAAGTACTAAGTATTTCTAAATATGAAATTCTATTTTTAAATATATATTTATTTTAAATAATAATAATTTATTTACAAAAGAAATATTAATTATATTATCTCCTAATATAAATTTAGTAGAATGTATCAAAATGAGATAACCCAAAAGTAGGAAATTTAATTCCGAAAAAAAAAAAAAATTAAAGGACTTGAATTGAAATCATGGAATAAAATATTTTAAAGGGATTTGAACTTAAATCATGAAAAATAGAAATTAAGAATAAAAAAGAAAATAAATAAACCAAGCAATTATCGTCATTGATCGGAAATTAGTTGACTTTTCAAGGGGAACAAATCAACCCCCATTCAATGACCCTTTTCATTTATTAATTATTGTTCACTCTCACGATTCGGAGAAACACGATAGCCACACCTGGTTGAACTGATTTTGATGTTTTTATTTCAGTTTTTTAAATCTTAAAATCATGCGCTTCTTTCTTTTTCTTTTTCTTTTTTTTTTTTTTTTCAGTTCAATTTTTGCGAAACTGTGTTCTTTAAATTTGTTCAGCAAGAGCTATAACTTTATAATATATATTTTTATACATACTTAATACATTTTTTAATCAGTTGCTTTAGTTTTATAATTCAGAAAATTTAAATGACTGATGAAATTTATATCGAGGAAGGTATGAAATTATTTCATGGAAGAATATCGGATCTTGAAATTTCTACAACTGTTTATGCCGAGGCTCTAAATGAGTAAATAAGAACACATAAATGGAAAAACGTTTCAGAAGGAAAATTTATGTTAAAAAATCTTTTCTTGAATAAAATCTTTTATGGAGCACAAACGTTAAACGTTTTGATTTTATTTTTAGATCTATGTTTCAAGTTGTTTGATTTTTGCTTTCTTCGTGTTAAGTAGCTTGACATTTTAAGCAGATTTATATTCTATTTTATTATATTCTATTCCATTCACATTGATTTCACACCATTTTGAGCAATATTAATAATTTTTAATTAATTATTCTTCAAATAATGATCTCAGTTTTCTATATGTATAAAACGGGAAAAATATATAAGAATTAAACAAATGAATAAGTAAAATCAATTGCGAGCCAAATATTGCTATATAAGAGAAATTAGTATTTTATTTTAAATGAATATTTACTTCAAGTTACAAATTAAGTATTTTACACATAGCACAAAAGTGTAATTTGCAATTACATGCCTTCTGGGCTTCCGCTATATTAACATTCTTTTGATATATCCTTTTGTGCCAGATTCATTCCTGCTTTTAGATTTTTGTTGATTGTTAATTATTTCTTAGTTTTAGATTACTGGCTGTAAAACATAACATAAAATTTAGATTTTTTTAAAACGGAAACTCAGAATTATAAAACATTTTAGAAAGAAGAGGTAGATTACGTAAAAATTAAGGTGTGGTCTAGGATGAAGAACTAATATTTTTTGTAATTATTCGATCTTTTTCTATCATTTTGTATTTTGCCATTATGTGGATGAGATTATCTTTCTATCTTTTTCCATTCCAGATGAATAAATACACTTAAACAGCAAGAAATTTGTAGACTTACCTCAGCAGGAAACTGATATCCAGCTATTAAATGTTCTGAGCCTTTATCATCCGTTCGTGCGAAATGGATATGTATTTCACTGAATCGGTACTTATATGAAAGGGGCCCACCAGTTATATTCAAAATTTCCGCATGTGATGCAGGTGTCGTTCGAAATATAACTCCATGACCAGTATTAGTTATAATTCCATTCACCTATGGAAAGCATAAATTAAATTTGTTATACACTTACATTACAAAATACACACAGCCACAATAATATTTTTAAACAACTTATAAGAACTTAACTTGAATTCATTTTAGTCTTTGCTTCACAACATGTGGCAGTAACAAAGTTTAGCAATGTATAGAGTTAGCAATGTTTAGCAATTACATTGATTCAGGAACGTGTTTAAGTCGCAATAACCTCGCTCGGATTCAAACTCCGGGGCTCTGGAATACCCGAATGTGCTTATAGTTACATCATGAAGACATGCGGAAAGTAGAGAGAAAATATCTAAACTTCCCCTCCTTTTAAAAGGGCAAATAGGGCTGAGGGGACCCAATAGCTATATACTTGTGGTGACGAATTGTCGTCCACTACTGTTTTAATTCGGTCGGTTTAATACTGTACAGTCTTGCAGAATGTTTTTCGATGTCAGGAAATTGAAGAAATTCGTAGTGCCCTTGCTGAGATTCAAACTCCGGACCTACGAAATACGTGTCGAGCGTACTTCCACTTATATCACGAAACATGCGAAAAGGAGAGAGAAAGTACTTTATAAATATTATATGCGAAATCAGAATGTTATTTTATACTCTGCAGTAATCTGTAGATATATGGTTGAGGGAACCTGAGACAGTTTCATTCAATAGGCATACGGATTAGCTGCTTGAAGGAAATAATGATTTCATCATTATACATATGATACTTAATGCGTCAAAAATAAATTTTACTAGTAACACCAGAAATGGTATTGTTTCACTTTTTTAATAGTATTTTTCTTTTTACTTTAAGAACTGCTATGTAAATGCTTACTGAATGTACTGTTTAGGTTCTGAGTCAATAGACTCATAAACATTAAATAAAATTAATAGGAATTAAAATTATTCTTGTATGTTTACAAAGAGTTCCATTACAATTTAAAGGATTAAATTGAAGGAAAATGTAAATAAATGAAATAATAAACGCTAGTAGAAGTAAAGTATATATTTTTAAATATAAAGGCAAATCTCAACATCAGAATACTAAGAGCATCTACTAAATGGAAAATGTCAACAATAAATTACAAATTAAAAAAAGCATGTTTTCATAAAAATTAAGAAAAAAGATATCTCGGGGCCAAATTTAAAATAAAAAGCATGGTTCTCATATTTATTTTACAAAATCTACAGGCATAATACAAAGACTAATCATCTCGCTGCTACAGTTTTCGGGCGATGTAGTCATCTGAGTTTTTGTACATGCAATCACGTGAACTAGAGCTGGTGCTCCAGTTCGGTCGGTGAGTCACAGTTATCAACTTACAACATCTTGATAATTAAGCGTCAAATTATGAAACAAATTAAAATAAGTGACCAAAGAAAGCATATCGATTGAATAGACCTTTAATACACGGTTATGACTAAGATCAAATTTCAAAATTACGAACTGGAAGAATTTTTTTAGTACTGGAGGTAATGTTTTCGTTATAGGTTTCCATTTCTGCTACGTAAGCAACATTAATACATCAAATGCTATAATGTGAAAAGAAAAAATGCCAAAAAGGCACTCAAATGTCTGTCATTCCAAAACAAAAAGCGACAAGGGAAAATGTAAAGAACGATTACTTTCTAACTGATAACCTTTAATACAGTAAAATGTGCAAATTTATTTAAATAATAAAATTTACAGAAAAATTATGTACTTCATATTACAGTGCTAATTAAGTATTTTGAAATGTTCCTGACATTTTGTTATTACAATCAAATGAGAAGTTTGTGTATTCAATTTTTAATTAATATTTCTGAATGTATTTCTAGCCTAATAAATTAATATAATTTTAATAAAATATTTGCGCGAGGATCAGAGAACTTTCAGTCATATATTTATTGACATTTGCGTATTGTATTTTGTAAGAATTCTTCTTTTGACGCCTCTACATTTAATAACACATACAGTTTCAGTGATATAACTCGGTTCATTATTTTTTGGAGATCGAAAAATTCTTGCTGTTTAGCTCTTGCCGTTTAAGCGACGTTATGAACAAACACCAAATATGATCTTAAATCTTTTACAAGTCACTGAATTTAAATTATCTAGAAATAAGTCATTCATATTGCAATCTAGATGTGTTTTTAATTGACCCTCTAACTAGAATTTGCAAATGATCTTTCAAATTTGGAAAGTAGCCGAAATTTTGAAAATAAAGGTTGGTTTGCACCGATGAAAATATATGACTACATAACGTAACTCTATTTTTCTTCTCAAATATTTTTCAAACATTGAAACTACTTTCTTTTTTCCTACGGAAGCGGGGCAGCTGATTCACTAACTTAGCATATCGACCAGGTACCCTCCGACATTATTACCGCTACTGTTAGATATCAGTTCGTGATTCATTCGCAGGGAATTAAATTGTATGAATGTGTATAAACAACTTCAAAATTATAGTATATCGCTGTATGTTGACTTTTATTTACATTAAAAATTATTTTGTCAATTCGTAAATCGCTGTGTAATATATATTATTGAATAAATGGTATTAAATTAAAATACGATAAATTATAAACTTATTAAAATAAAATAGTTATTCACATATAATATGTGGACGATTCTAAACCAGCGTTTAATGCAGTTTCCAAAGGAAATTATTAATAATAAATGCACAGAATTTTCCACGAATACCACAAAATGGACATTTAATCTTCTTCCCAGACGTGAGATTCATATTCTCATTTCCATTACCCTTATCACTTACACTGATAGCTTATCGTAAGTTTTAACGTATTAGTCGTTAGTTTATAGATAAACTCTATTTATATGCAGGGTCTTTTTATATATAAACTTCAGTATATTAATCCATCTCAAACGATTCTTATCTAACTCTAAAGATGAATGTAATTGCATAACGCATGAGCCAATAAAAATGTTGAAATTTGCATATTCAAAATTTTAGAAATCAATCGAATTGAAATCAATCCAGCACTGAATCAACTTTAACTACAGCTTGCAATTGGAATCTTCATGTTCTTCTCTGCTAAATATGTCTCTTCTTACCTGTCTTCCTTCAAAATGAATTGTTATAAAAATATAAAAATATCCACGGTTGTAAACAAGAACGGGTCAGCAGATTTCTTCAGTAGATCCTTTGTGTATTTTATGGTGAAAATGTGCTTGTCAAGAACTAGAAATGTTTTAAACCGGCCATGACGTCAGCCTTCTTTTTATCAGATTCAAGTTTCGTCATCATGGATCAGCGTCATCATTCACCATTCGAAAACAATTTTGTATGTACACATATGTGGTATTTACCTCCTCACCTATAACGTTTAGAGTACGAAAATCGAGAGAGGAAAATTATCCGAGTAATTGAAAAAATCTCATTTAGTTCTTTAACCAGTTTTTTATAATTTACTTTCCTGTCCTCTTCATTTCCCATTCTCCTGCTAGATAGTAAATTTCTAGCTCGTGTGTTGTTCATTTGAGGTAGATAGGAGATAGTATTCAAAAGAAGGTTTTTAGAGGGTAAGGCTACGTTCTAATTTTGGATCTCTTGAGAGTAGTATTCTGGGGCCTTGCGTTATTCTCCTCCATTAGACTTGCCACGTCGAATTCGGTCCGAGCCAACTTGCGCGTCACTTTATTTGTGTAGTCATTAGGTTAACTTACCTTTTAGTTAGTTAAATCATTTTTTTGCTTGTTTAAACCATAAATTCTGGCTTCTGTAAGCACGAGTGGTGCCTTTTGTTGACTTTTAATTAAATGAAATAAAAGGGTACTTTACACCCTTTTCCCTGTCTCTGCTGTATTTATAAGACACAATGATAATTCACGTCTAAGTCTCAAGACGCTTTGTACATTTAATGCTTCCAAAGAACACGAGACTTTACAAATTTACTTTTCGAAGGACGTGATTACAAAACGTACAAAAAAAATGAAAAGTATTCACGAGTAAAATGCCTGCAAGTATAACAGTTTATTCATTTAAAAAAATTACATTTACGATAAGAATACACAGTAATATTAACACTGGACCAGCTAATGAGATATCTTCACTTCTACTTCCCTATATCTTAAATATCTCCCGATTTTATTGCTCTCTACCACAACATGCAAGGCGTTGCCATAGTCACCCGTTGTCACCCCGTCTTCGTCACCGCACAATTCTTAAGATCATTGCACGTGGAAAAGCACGTGCAACGATCTTACGAACCATATTAGTTATCACAGTTTTCTTGAAGCTGTTTACTAGTGTTTTTTCATCATTCAGAGCCAGTGCATCCATATTCGAAGAGGAAATCATTTAAGAAAACAAGAGAAATCACTATGTGGAGGAATGCGTTTTAAAATTTAGGGAATGATCGCTTTTGGAACGTGTTAAGGAAGAGAAAAATTAACTGAATACTTAAGACATTTTGAGCCTTCTGCTACAATGCTACGGCAGAAAATATGCGATGCGGAAAACTCAAGTAAATACGGTATATGTAAATTTATGCAGAAACAGTAATTTGATATTTCGTTTACATAAAAATGTTACAAAACTATTTGATCACATTTTTATATTCAAGAGGTTTTTACACATTATTATTTGCATTACAAACTATTATAAACGAAAAAATGCAGCAAAAGGCGACTCTCATTTTATATGACTAATACCGTTATAAAGTCTGCTTTCACAGAGATCGTTTACAAAATTAAAATAAGTTGTATTTCAAATAATGTTAAAAACGTTTGCTCGTTGAAAAAGTAAAATTGCAGATTACATTAAATTGTAAATGCCACAAATGAATGGTAGCCGTACAGAAGGAATATAAATTTCGGTACATGATTCATAATATTTAGGTATTTAATGCAAAATACTAAAAAAACATTTGATCAAATATAAAAGTTTTTGTAGAAAAACTATAATTAAAATTAGGTTACATTTAAGTAAAGACAAGACATAACAAAAGTTTCCTACTTTCATTTTAAGAAATCTCCAACAGTATTTTTGGAAAACGTTATAGGATTTTAA